TTTGTATCATGTATACAATAACAATTAACAATACACTAAGAATATGAATATAACAACAATAATAGACATTTATACAAAACAAAAAATAATAAGATAATCAGAACGCTAAAGGTAAGTTGGTATTATTAAAAATAAACTTTTGTTTAAGTACTTATATCCTATTATAGCAAAAGTGAAAGTTTAACAATAATAGTTCTAGCATTCTTTTCAACTTAAGATTATAAAAATAAAAATAAGGTAACTATAATGATTTAATGCCAATTATAATTGATTAAAATATTAGGTATACACTTAGGTATTTATACGTATCTAAAAATTTAAGAATATTTTTTGTGAAAATTTTGTAACATAAGTACGTTGTAAGCATTGTTGTTATGTGTATCGGTATATAATATGAAGTAGGATTAAAAAAGAAAAATAACTAAAATAACATAATGATAATATGGTTCCTTATACATATTAACAAATTAGATGGCCTTTTAAAGTTTTTGAAACTATCTATTTACAATTTGTACATATTTCCATTAAAATATATTACTTTCGGAAAATTAAATTAGACAGGTTTTATACCTACCTAATTTAGTTATAGGTATACGCCGAAAAGGCGAAGAGAAACAAAAGTTTAACTCAAATTTGAATAGTTTTTTGTTTCATAAACTAAAATGATTGGTTTTCTATTGTTTCAGCCAAATTCTCCAGAGATTATAATTGGATGTCCTCACATATCCACGCGAAATGAGTTTAGGTTAGTTTGATATTGTTAAGTTTTGAACCATTTGAGCATTTATTTAGTTATTATGCAGTCTGCACCTGCTAAAGAGAAATCAAGCAATTGAAACGACGTGAAAAATACAAAAACCAGGCATTTTTATAGTGCTCGAAAAACATCCAGTTTTCGACTAAAATATTTGATAGCTGATGGATAGGTTAGGTATTTAGTTATTTCTGGTAAGTTAATATAACCAACAAGGAAAATCCAGCATTTCCTGTCATAAATAGTTTACGAAATCTCCAAGGAGAAAAATTGTATTTATTTTACTCCTGACGATCATTCTTCAAACGACAATTTTTGCAATAAATATAATACATGATATGAAAATCCAGAAACAGAAGCTATTTAGCTGATATAAACAGCAACCCGTTGGTCTTCCAACATCGACAACTCAGTCATAACTTTTTGACATTTGAAAATTAAAATTTGTAAAATAGTCAGACCAAACTACATGGGTTTATTCTTGCTTTTAACTTCTAGGCAATTTCCGTCAGGTCATTATTCGGGTTGGTTGCAAAAGTGCGACTTTTCTGGTGTGAACCGTGACAATTTGTCGCAAATGTTTACATTTTTGAACACCTAACGTTTTTAACAAAATTTATCAGGGCTATGTTATTTCTCTTTCAATCATTGGAAGAGGCGGAAGAGCAACTAAGAAGTTTGAAATGGGATAAGTTGCAAAATTTGATGTTTACAAAATGCTGTTTCGAAATTTGGAATATTTTTGGAACTTCGGTTACTCTCTTATCCACTAAGGACATGAAAACTTTTTTGAAGATGATGGCAAAAATGTCGAGATTCAGACATATTCAATTGATAGGTTATTTATGTTTTGAATAGGTAATAATTTATTCAAAAATAAATTATCCACTGCATTTAGTGAAAAATAAGCCGATTCTTCAGACCAAAATTATCATGATGGTTTTCCAGGTAGGTTCTGGTGTCCTGGATAAGGTCTATATAGTGCTAAGTGTCCGTATAACCAATCAGCGTCAACCATCTCCGGACTTCGATCAAGTAATTTTTTTTAGTCTATAGACTGTATGAACAAACTTTAGACGTTTTTTATGTGATTTTTGACATTTAGAAAATTCGATAAATAGCATAGCTTTCCAGAAAAACATCTTGAGATGATGATAATTATTGATCACATAAAATCGTCGAAATCAGAAAAAGGCTTCACTTGTTCAGAGAAGTACAAATGAATAATGAAAACGTCGTGAATAACTTAGTTTTGGTTTTGGACTACAAGTAACATCTGCGAGGATTAGCCAACTTTTGTGGACACTTTTTTCACTCTGAGGAACAGCACGTTGACGCAACTGAATATCGCATGAAGAAAGATATCGAGGATGTTCATACACGGTCAGATTGGTTAAAATTCTCATAATTCCTTCCCAATTGTAACTGGGGTTGAAAAAATAATGTAATGATGCTCATAAAATTGGAGCTGGTGCAAATATCTCTAAGATCAAATTCCCACGTGCTGATAAGAGTGCTGCCCCTATTAACTATCAATAGAAATATTGAATTCCATGATTTCATAATACCCATTGATCCATTATTCATGTTCCAAAGGATTACTGTCAGAAAAGAAACAAATAAAGATGACTTGGAGTATCAATTGGCTCCACTATTTTACGATGGTGGTATACGCAAAACGAACAGTTCAGCTTTCCATGACAATTTTCAGCTATATGAATCTGAACCAGACCCCCAAAATGCCTTTTTTATCATTGATAAGAAAATTATTGCATAGAGTTAAATGGGATCAAAATGAAACTCATCATGGTACTATTTTCAAAGTATAGGGTGGTCCAAAAAAAAACCGGAATTTTGTTTTTGAGCTGTAACTTTTTTATTTGTTGACCAATTTTCTTTTGTTTGGGCTTGTTTGAAAGAGAAATGAACAGACTAACGAATCAGGGTAAAACTTTTGACATTTGAAAAAAAATCCAAAATGGCGGACTCCTTCAAAAATTGCCTAGTTTTGGATAGCGCTGGAACTTTTTTGTGACACCCTGTATAAGTTTTTTTAATAAATTGTTAAATTTCATCATTTTGCGAACATTTTAAGACCTCGACAGAAAAAATCGGTTGAAAACTTAGTGAAATATTGAATTTTTTGTAATATCGAATTTCAATTTTTCATATTGACAGCAAAATCTAGGATATGCAATTTCAGGTAGATTTTTTTTTCTACTCGACATATTCTTTCTATTTCAGGCTTGGGCGAAAAATAAATAGATAGGGTAAGGATTCGAAATGAAGATTTTGACTGGTTGAGAAAAAAATGAGGATGTCCGAGTTCCTTCAACATAGCCAATTTTGAAAAAGTTAACGATAAGTTTTCTAACAATACGACTAATATTTTCATTTATAAATCTTGAAAAATAAAGTAAATACATTTAAGGAGCGATATGCCCTCCGTGGGCCTCAACAACCCATGCTAAACGTCTACGCCAAGAATCGATAGAATCGGCAATGTTACGTTGTTCCAGCAGTTCTTCCCAACACTCAATGATTCGGTTGCGCAGCTCTTCTAAACTATTGAACATAGCCCCATTTCCGTGGACTTTTTCTTCCAAGTCCCCTTATAAAAAGTAAACGCAGGGATTCAAATCTGGGCTATAAGGCGGCCAGCGGCCAGTCAACGGGCTCTATAAAATTCGCAACTTGCTCTCTTAGATAGTTCATAGTAAAGAATAATTAAAAGCGATGTGAAGCGGAACTACACATTTAAACTGTCCTACTTATTAGATTTAGAGCCCGTGCTGAAATCCGAAAAAGTTATTCAGTGATGGGAAAATGTTCACCTTATCCGGAGTAAAGAATTCGCAAAACGACCAACTACGAATTTCCCTCTAAGCTCGAAAAGAAGATAAAGGAAGCGAAAAATTCAGCAGTTATTTAATGGTATCTATCTGCAGCAATTTCTCGGAGCCACAAAGCACAACCAAGGAGTTCGTTTGGATTCACGCAAGTATTGTCAGCTTGTGTTCGCCATATGCTATCCGAAATCAAGGCTGTTTGAGAGAGGTAGGTTGCCTGATAACTTTTATGACGTCATCTGTATGCCTGAACAAAATGCAAATCTCCATAAGGCACTCTAGATGCGTCATCAAGTTACCCATTACCAGACAACCTGTTAACTTTAGGAGCCTTGATCCGAAATTGAACAGCTCACACCACAAGACTACACTTTTATGTAGGTAATTTTTTAACTTACCTAGTTAATATTTATTGTTCAGATTTTGGTTCTCACAAAAACTTTGATAAAATTGTACGTTTTTGTATTTCTCTTTCTATGAGATAAAAGTGATAAATACTGTTTGTATATAAGATGGAGCCAGGTGACATAATAGCCACTTTACTATCGACTATCTAAGAGAGCAAGTTGCGGATTTTATATAGCCCGTTGACTGGCCGCCTAATAGCCCAGATTTGAATTCCTGTGATTACTTTTTATGAGGAGATTTGGAAGAAAAAGTCCACGGAAATAGGTCAACGTTCAATAATTTAGGAGAGCTGCGCAACCGAATCATTGAGTGTTGGGGAGAACTGCTGGAACAACGTAACATTGCCAATTTTATCGATTTTTGGCGTAGACGTTTAGCATGGGTTGTTGAGGCCCACAGAGGGCATATCGCCTCTTGCCCCTTAAACGTGTTTACTTTATTTTTTAAAATTTATAAATAAAAATATTAGGCGTATTGTTAGAAAACTTATCGTTAACTTTTTCGAAATTGGCTATGTTAAAGGAACTGGGAAATCTTTAATTTTTTCTCAACAGTCAAAATCTTCATTTCGAATCCTTATCCTATCTATTTATCTTTCGAACAAGCCCGAAATAGAAAAAATATGTCGAGTAGAAAAAAAAATTCTAGCTGAAATAGCATATCCTAGATTTTGCTGTCAATATAAAAAATTGAAATTCGATATTACAAAAAATTCAATATTTTTTCACTTAGTTTTCAACCGATTTTTTCTGTCGAGGTCTTAAAATGTTCGCAAAATGATGAACTTTAAGAATTTATTGCAAAAACTTATACAGGGTGTCACAAAAAAGTTCCAGCGCTATCCAAAACTAGGCAATTTTTGGAGGAGTCCGCCATTTTGGATTTTTTTTAAATGTCAAAAGTTTCATTCTGATTCGTTAGCCTGTTCATTTCTCTTTCAAACAAGCCAAAACAAAAGAAAATTGGTCAACAAATAAAAAAGTTACAGCCCAAAAACAAAATTCCGGTTTTTTTTGGACCACCCTATATATGTTAATTATGTGGAAAATCACTTTCGATGGAAACTCCATTATTGTTTTTAATGCCTATGAAAGTATTATAAACAGTGTGGAGGCTATGGAGCAGCTTCGCCGGACCTCAATAGCTTCATTTGTTGACATATACTTTGATGACTTGCAACCAAGAGAAATTCTAATGATAAAAATAAATGTAGATTGATTTGATGTTGACAGAAAAGTTTATGGCAAATAATTATATTCAGAGACATGGTGAAGATGATGCATGTTCGCATCATGATGATGCGAACATTTTGATACTTAAAATAGCGGGTGAGGTACCATGTTAAAATACTACGGTTGTGGATGGGGAAGATGAGTGAAAGTGACGTGACCAGAAGCGAAGAAGTCAAATTGAATTCGTTACCTCCCTCTCAAGTCGCAGCTCAAGAGCATCTATTTCGTATTTATTTTCGAGTACAGAAATGGGATGGTAATAAATTGTATTTTGAAGAGTGAGGAGAATGTCATAGATACTATATCATCCCAACTTCCTGCTCCTGACTACCCTTTGAAGATGATTTTCTGCAAGTGTACGAAAGATTGTGAACCATTGTGTTGCTAACAATGATTGCGATTTAATTGCTCACGAATTTAGTTTGCGGTTATTGCCATGGACAATCTTACTTGAATGCTGAACCAAATTGAGCCTCGTCAGAAAAAAAAAACCGTCACCGAAGTAGAAACTTAAAGTTCTGAGATTGATTCAGATTTCCGCGAAGAAGAAACATGAATTTGACAACATTTCAATAGATATGGCAGTCGTGGATTTTTCTCGTAGAGTCAATGAAAAGCGAGATATCTCGAGTAATTTGTTTTAGAGCCTAATTCTAGCCCTTTATTCTTACACTCTCATTTGGAGGACTTATGAGACCTTATTTAGGAGAGAGAACTACATGGACACAAATCATATGAGTGAGTAGGGCCACCAGAAAAAAAAAATCTGTTCCAATTAGTCGTAAAGAATAGACATTTCTATTTATTGTTCAAAAACGTGCGCTTTGAAATTGAATTTCATGTTAGTCCCTTTGAACCTATCATAATACTATTGCCACCTGTAGGAGCAAAACACTATTTATGATGTTGCTGGAATCGAAAGGAAAATGAGCGAAATGCGTTTAGCATACATACTACTTTATGCATTACGTGAAAATTTTGCAGTAGATAGACTCAGGGCTATTATGTGCATCAGAATAAAAACGATTTTCCGAATTTGACAATTTTGGCAATTTGAACAGTTACTTGTTGTGAGGGCACGTATTATCAACTATCAACTAAATATCCAACAATACCCAATGATGGTTAGCATCAAATTTCGAACACATCATATTATAATAAATATGTTTTATGGAATAACCTACTATAGTACTTAATAGTATCTATTATTTTTAATTTATATATTTTCTATTTCTATGATTTCATTGTTATACAAAAGGAACATTAATTTCACTCCGAGTATTACTCAGTCGGTTTATTTGGCAAATTAATATACTATCGTTTTAACAAACTGTTGTTTCTGATATGTGAGTTTCTGATTCACATTTGAATACAACACTACTTACGCGATGACGATTGTCTTTTGTATTCACATTTAACAAATAACATTAACGGACAATAATTGGACTAGCAGAACTAGTACAATTTTAAATATCACATATACGGCCAAGAAAATGAACTACCGGATAAAAGCATGTCTCGTATAAGAGTTTCTATAGGTGTTTTGCCCACTAGCCGAACAAAAAATAACTGTTCTATCACTGCAGAGCTGACAGTTCTTAAGCTAGGTAAACGTAAAAGGAGCTTGCCAAATCTAGTGGGCTGGTTTGGATACTGCGACCTACAGTACTCCTCCAGAGCACATTGAGATTTCTCTTGTATTGATTCTATATGAGCTACATCACTGAGACCGCAGGCATCTGAAACAAAAAAAAACTATTATAGAAATGCATTTTTTTTGTAACAAATTAAAAATATATTGTAACACTTAGAATAATAACTATCAATTCCCCCTAATAACAACTTCAGAGATATGCATCGTACAACATTTCATAATTTGAGAGGCAAGTCATGGCAAATCCGAATCCAGTTTTTGCTGCGGATTGAACTACTGACGCGTTTCGATGCTGTTGTACCTCGTCAGCGCAGTGTACGATCCGCAGCGCAAACCAGAATCATTTTACTAGGTCAGTCATTTTTTGATGTTTAACGCAGTTTTTATTCAAATGCCTCCTTTGGACGTATCCGAACACTATCTTTCAGTAAAATCTGCGGGAGAAACTTTAGCGGGTCGTTCGGCGCCCAACGTTTACAAAACGCTAGATGTAGGTACCGTTTTTAAACATAGTGATCACTAATCAGTTTTTGCTGCGGATCCAACTAAGTACCGAACTTTATCTAATGTTCAACAACGGTCGTCCTTTCGCATGCTAGTATCTAACTATGGAGATAATTTTGCTCTTGTGGGCGATAATAAACGGCCTCACCGAGCAATTTTAATTGATTAATATCTTCAAGAACAAAATGTCAATCGACTGGAACTTCCCTCCAGATTACCATATATGAATCCAATCCAGCAAAAACAGAGATCCAACCGTGAAATCTGGACGCGTGTGATCATTGAGATCTGGGAAGAAGTTCCGGCTCAAATTATGAAGGGGTAACTTTTCAATGCGTCGTATTTTCCATTATTTGATGAAATTCTCAAACTTTGCCCTACAAATTTAGCACCCTTTATAAAAGAAAGCATCGGCTAAAATGGGTTCCGCTAACACTGTTGGGTTTCTCAATGCTGGTTTATAGGATTCACAATCAGAATAAAACTACAAAAAATACAGTTTTTTAGAAATTGAGATTTTTTGAGGTGTCTCATCAGTTAATTTTCGGTATAAATTCCTATTAGTTTACCATCGAGCACAATTAACGTCATTTTTTATTTTTACAATCTAATGGTAACTCAGGAAAGTGATGTGAAGATCCGGCAGTTCCATTGAAACATCTTAGATCTTCCTGTTTTTTCCAATGTATACTTTCGGTCAAATAGGTATCACATTTTGATAAGTAAACTCCTGATTTGGATAGTTTATTCAATTTAGATTTATAGTTTTTAATGAGTTTACCTAAGTTGTTATTGGTTCTAGAAGCAGACTTTATCTTGTTTTTGGAGAAGTTTTCGAAAATCTTTTTGGAAAAAGTATTTATATGTATCTAGTAGATTTATAATTTTGGTCGGATATATTATTGGATAATGGATAGGCCAAGTTTATTGCCATTTGATAACGTTTTTTCTTAACTAATTTATCTACCAATCTAAAGATAAATCAGTTATTGACTGCAAAATATAAGATAAATAAAATAAAACACAGTATGATGAATATTTCCCTATACATATTTCTAATACACGCACAGGTGTATGTTTGTGAATAATTTACTAACGCACACGTGTGAGTATCTGTTAGTGAATAATTCACTGGATTTATTCTTGGTAGTCGAGAAATGTAAAGGGTACATCGATTATTAGAAAATCTTTATGAAAATTTGTCGCCACTTATTTAGTTTGACCTAGGTGATAGAACAGAAACTAGCTTATGACCAAGAACTTCTTTCATTATTTGTAGATCTAAACAAGCCAATAACAATTATTATCCTATGGGAAACACTAGAAAAGAACAATTAACTTGAAATTGCTAAACTAAGTTCAAAAAGGGTAGCATAATCAGTAAGGGTTTTACACAATGAGCTATAGTCAAAAACTGTAATGTGCACACTATATACCATATCCGCCAAAAAGTGAAGCCATCAAAGACGAATGTCACAAGGGGGAATGTTGTTCTTTTCTGTTGTTCGCTGACATATGACGTTTTGGAAAGTTTTGCTATATTTTCCTACACAGGTTTTATTAATTGGAATACGTGTTGAAATCAATTTCCGCCATTAAAAACGTAATGAGTGCGACAAAAACAGGCATCCCTTCCGCAGCAGCGGCACTAGGCTTCACGTTCGTCAATATGTGTACGCATTCCAGTTTTTGGTTATAGTTCATTCATTTTACAACAAGTACAAGATTTAAACGGATAATGCATATTACCAAAACTTTTTAAAATATACTTGGAAAAAGCGCGTAATGGGTGGAAAAAGAAATGCAGACTTATAGGGATACCGCTCAATGAATACAATCTATATGCCTACTGTAAGCTTTGTAGATAACCAATTTAATTGCACAGGATTATAATGATTTAGAGTACAATACATGACATAAGTAAATTGATAGAGGAATAGGAAAAATAGTATTGGGAAGCGAATTTGATGAAAACCGAATATATGACCATTGAAGGAGAACAACGAAATCTGAAATTGAATAACAGGCAAAATAAAACAATGCTACTGAATATAAATATTTGGGAATAAAAATCTAGCATTGATGTTATAGAACTATAGTTATAATTCTTATCATTGCATAGTGCATTCAATTTATCTTCCTGTGGCCATTTTGAATCACCGGTAATTAATAGTTTGACACTCTTAGGCACGCGCAAACTGGTTGGTCATCTTTTGTTTTTTTTTTTTTTTTTTGCACGAAATACGCAACTTTCATTCCTCCTCATGGTGGAAATAGCCTGAAATAGTGTAGATATTTCACAGATTTTCCAAAGATCCCTTGGCGGCCTCTACTGTGGAAACCTGCCTGGTAAAGTCCATTCCAAAATATTTCGTTGACTTCACGGCTATAAAACCCTACCATAAATTAGATAGCTATTAGCCTCTATTGTGTAGGTACCAGGTTCTTTTATGTAGGTACCGGGTTCCTTAATACCCACTCAAAGGTTTACAGGTACGGATTTTGTGCCCATTATAATGAAAACGAAAAAGGCGTTTCATAATATTATTTATTTATGTTATAATCTTATACTATCTTAATAATTACCAAAACTTAATATCTAATACAATATAATACAATACACAATTCAACCAAACCTAATCTATATTTAGTTCCGTTTCACTGTCACTGTCATCTTCATCTATGCCTAAACTAATTATTAATGGCTTAACATTAATACCTATTGAATTATAGGTTTCTTCAACTTTTATAACGTGATTGACAGAATTTTTCCAGCTTTGAACTGGAATATTATCTACACATTTTCTAATTAAATCTATTACAGCAGTACTAAGTGTAGGAGAGGTGTTTCCTCTCCTAACCATTGCCTTCAATTCATGCCAGATATGTTCTATTGGATTGAAAATACAATAATATGGAGGAAGATGCAAAACTGTATGACCACAAGCGCTAGCAAGATCGTCACAAATATATTCTTTTTTAACATTATATGATTTCAAAACGTTTAAAAGATCTTTCTTTGTATAATTTTCTTCGAAATACATATCATTTTCCATCATATATTTTTGAAGTTCTACTTTTGTATTACTTGCATTGGGCACTTTATTTTTTTGACCGCTGTGGTAACTAGCGTTGTCCATCAACATTATACTGTTTTCTGGTATGTTCGGAAGAAGGCGATTCTGAAACCATTCTTCAAATAATTTTGCATCGGTATCTTGATGATAATCTAATGATGAATTGGCTATTTTTTTTGCGGATAGCAGCAAAGAGTTTGGAACAAAACCATTTTCTGATCCGGCATGCAAAATTGTAATCCTCTGGCCTTTATTTGAGGGTGCTTTGGTTTGACATTTGGAGGTTGAGTCGCTCCATCCTCTTTTGGGAGTGTCATGGGTATCAAACCATGTTTCGTCAAGATATATTATCGGACGATTTTCTGCCCTATATTGTTTTATGGAACTTAAATATTCTCGACGCCATGCTTGTAATCGCTGGGATTTCATTAGCACTTGCCTCTTATTAATGGTTTGATATTTGAAACCCATTGCTTTCACAATTCTCCAAAGGCTTGTTCTGCTACATAATATATCAGTTTCGTCTTCTATAAGTACTTACCTTTTTTAGAGAATCTATTGTAGGTATTATTTGTTTACTGTACAAATCATAAATTTTCCTACGAATCAACTCTTTATCCGCTTCTTCAACCTTTCTTGACTTGCCGCTGTCACACCGTTGCTTCCTTGGCTGGATGCGTTTGGCTACGATATCTTTAACCGTAGATAATGGAGTTTTGGTTAAAACGGATGATTCACTCACACTTTGATTATGATTATAGCCTCTCTGCAGAAGGGTTAAATAAACGTTCCTCACAATTTCCTTGGCATCTAGCGATAAATGTTTTTTTTTTGAAATACCACTTCCGGTTGCAATACTACCATCATTTGCCCATGGACGCCACATTTTTTTTGTCAATATAACAGCTCTAGTTCTGCACAAAGACTAAATAATTTAACTAAAACATTCACCCACATTTACATGTACATCTCACCTAGGCAGGTATAATAAATAAAATCAACCCGGACCTGCTCACAGGTAGTCGAAGTTTGTGGTTGAGGGTATCATCAACATTTTATTGATACTTGAAGAGTCAACGAATTATTTTGGAATGGACTTTATATGTCGTGCTCTATGACCGGTGGTTGTCGAGAGTGTCTGTAGAATTTTAGGGATTGCCTTAACCAGCCGGTCAAGTGGAAGATCCACAATACAAATCCCCTCCCAAGTCAGCATAGGCTGAGTACTGCATGGTTAAGGGGAAGCTCAACCTCTACTATTGAAAATCAAGAAAATCTAAAAAAAGGACGTCAAAAGCATCAAAACAACAGAAGACAATCGACGCATCTAGAGTATACCGACGAGGCACTCTAGGAGCCTGGATCAATGACATCAAAACACAGATAGACCGAACAATAAACAAAATTTTCGTATGACAACATCTCTCTGTCCCTTTGGGTCTTTGTGCTATCCCCACCACTGAGAATGCCAAATTTTGTCTTGAATCCCTAAATAATATATTTT